CTCATGTCACCTTTCTACTCATGTGTGCTGCATTTACTTATGTGCTTTACTTATGTGCTTGCACTTTGTTTGAATTGACTCTCTACTGCTCTGCTTGTCTCTCTAATCGACGAGGTCCTGGCTCTTCTTTCTGTGCATCGAATAGCGTCAGAGGTTTCGGCGCGTCCCACCTTGGGTCATCTACTTGATGCATCGACATGGTCCTCGTTCCCAATAAGACAATTTTTTTAAGAGGTCCGTATCTAGCCGCCATGTTATTGCACAAGAGCCAACACTAGGAACAAGTGCATCGCTTCTAGTAACAAGTGCCTTACTAGTAGCAACAAGAAGCTACTAGGGGCTCCTGGCTTTACTACTAGGAGCAAAGGACGCTACTAGGAACAAGTTTCCACTTTCTGCTGTTGCTTGGGGATTCTGTTGGATGTTTCGAGCCCCCGGGCCAACATCCATGGACAATCTGATCAGCTTGGCAAGGTGGTTGATTTTGAGGATTCCTTGGTGCACGTGGCACGTGGCTGCTCTTCTTCCGAACGGAATGCCGAAGAACAGCAGAAGAACAGAAAAGGAAAGGGAAAAAAACGGACGACATGTTCACATGGAGCACATCTAACGATCCGACCCGATCCGACCCCTTCGACGCTGTGAGCCCCCAACCGAATCTGCGACTCCGACATGTTCTTCCGAAAGATGGTTTCCCTGGCGCGCGAGGTCATCGTCATCACCTCAGGTTTCGTTGCAGGCAAGTTAATCAAGGCTCTTATGCGCAAAATGCTGTGTTTGTCACATCCTTTGAAGCCTTCTGAATAACCTAATAGCGATGGCCTGAAGCCTGCTACTCGTACATCCTAAAAGCAAGTTGTTCTAACATGTTCTAACTCTATTGCAAGTTGTGCGTTTTTGACGCAGGTCATTCTTTCGGCCCCTGACTCGTCCGTGCTGGTCTGCAATCATTGCATACACATTGGGGCTCAGCGGTAGTTCACCCAAGGCCTCCACAAATCTTTCCAGAGATGAATTCTTCGCACGTCGCACATCTTAAAAAGTGGAAGAAGAGATAGATGAAAAAAATGTGCAACTGTTACTAGAAAGCTTTATCAAACGATTCCCAAGGAAGCTTCTAGTTACTAAGAAGCTTCAACGACCTAAAAAAGCTTCTTGTTACTAGTAGTAATGGCCTCCACCCTAGTAGCGATGGCCTCCAACCTAACAGTTTCTTGTTACTAAAAAGAATATGGTGTAACTGCAGCCCGTTCTCAAAGAAACAATTAGAGCGTGTATGAGGATGTCTGATTGACCCCCCCGGTATGATTCGTCCAGTTGCGCCTCACCCAAGTATGTCATGTTGACCTGAGCTGTCACGCGCTGTTGCGGATTCTGTCGTGTTCCCCAAAGGTCTGAAGCACCAGGTCTCGACTTGCTTTTCTGAAAAGAACCCTCGAACCGAAAGGGACGCTACTAGGAGCAAAGGGCATCGCTGCTAGGAGCAAGGGCCTTACTACTAGGAACAAGAAGCTAGTAGAAACAATAAGCTTCTAGTAACAGGTGCATCGCTAGGCATCGCTAGTAGTAACAGGTGCCTTACTAGTAGTAACAAGAAGCTAGTAGAAACAATAAAAGAACGGGACGTCGCCCGCCATCGTTCCAAGTCGCCGTCATCGTCACCGCACCCATCTGTTCCTGAAAGGGCTCCCCGGACGAAACGACGGTCGATCACTGGACGGGAAGGGTTCCACGGTTTAGGCCGAAGGGCATCGCTACTAGGGACCTCCTGGCCTTACTAGGAGCAAAGGACGCTACACGGTTTAGGCCCCCAACCAAGTTCTCGCCGCTGAGCCGGTACGCAATGGCTGAAGCCTGCAAAGATGGCCCGACTCACCCAAGAAGGCTCTCCAATTGGATTCGTTTTTGCAAATGATCGTCCAAAAACACCAGCGCAGTTTTCGTCGTCACTTGTCTCCTTCTCCATCTCTGTGATGGTGTACAATGAGTGAAAGCAAGGAAGAAAGATCCATTTCAGAATGGCAAACTACGTTAAAAGAAGAGATCCTGCAAAGACAAAATAGCACAACATAGCATTGACAAGAAAGAGACTTAGACAAAGGAAGAGAAAACGGAACATGCAAAACAATCCTCTTCTAACTCGTCCTGGTCCTTTCCTCGGTTTTGATTGTCTTCCTCCTGGCGGCCTACCTCCCCGGGCTAAATAACAACAATAAAAACATATAAATTAGTTACTAGAAGCTTCTTGTTACTACTAGTAAGGCACTTGTTCCTAGAAGCGATGCACTTGTTTCTACTAGCTTCTTTTCTTGTTACAAATAACATGAGTCCGTTTCCCGATAAATCATCCGAACCAAGGGAGCTTCCTTGGAAAAGCGTGAGCTATCCTGCGTCCATGCTAGTAGCCATGCTAGTAGCGTACTAGTAAGGTAGTAGCTACCTCTCTCCCTTACTTAGTTAAGTAGGCGCCTACTTAATTCACTAGGGAGTGAGGGAGGTCGGCAAAAAAACAAAGAAAACATTCCGAACTTGCTCCTAATAGTATGGCCAGGAGCCCCGTTCGTAGCGTCCTTGCTCCTAGTAGCGATGCCCTTTGCTCCTAGTGTTTCTTTTCCTCGTTTTCTTCGTGTCTTCGTCTCGCCTGAGATGTGAGATCCCCGGTGGTGCGACTCTCAGCCGCGGCTGTCCAGAAGACTTTCTGCCTCGAGCGAAGCGAAAAAAGCCAAAACACACCGCACCGGTCTTTTTCGTGCATGTTTGTTGGAGATTTTTTGGAGACTGCAAGGACTTTCTGCAAGAGAAATGAAACAAACAACTTACATGGCAAGTTGCGGAAAGAACACCTGTTAGGCTTTGAACACTGACAGGAGACTCTGTGACCCCTGCCTGGAGCTTTGAGATTGTTTCGCCGTCTCACCGATCTCACTTTCTGTTTTGCCGATCAAAGCTGGCACGGAGTTCTTAGGAGGAGGACCTTGAAGATTACATTCAAAGCGAGTGGATGAAGAGCTCTTCCACAAATCTGTGACCAGGGCTGGGTCGTTGCCAAAGTATTGGAGCCGAGTGTGAAAGGAAGGTGTGAAAAGGACTTTCTTGCTCTCTTCGAAGTCATCAATTCCACTGCCCAGAATCGCATAACGCAAACCTTTCTGAATTTCCGTCAAATTCGTCTCTAGCTTCTCATCATCTTTCACCATTCGAGGCGCATCGGAGGTGTACGCGTAACTCTTGCCAGTTTTCGTGGGCTGTGGAAGCATCAAAATGGTCCGATTGTCATAGACGGAGTAGCGAATGCCATTGCAATTGGGACAAATGGACGATGACTTGCAGAGCTCCATGTGATCAAACTCAGGCACTTTTGTGGAACTGCCCTTCAACTCAGCAGAATCAGCTCGTTGGAAAATGCTCGAAAAGAACTCCACCACATTGTTGGTCCTTTGAACAAAGTGAAACAAACAAATGGAAGACCGCTTCTGTCTTTCCATTCGTTTGGTCCTTCCCTTTGCAAACGCAAACGCAACGTCCTCAGAAGCTCGCAGTCCATGGAGGAGGCCACACTGCTGGCCATGGCGACAAAAACGCTCCTGGACGGAAGAGACATCATCGGCACAAAGCGTTCTCGGAATTTAGTTAAACTTAAATCTAATAGCTTCTTTGTTACTACTAGTAAGGCACCTGTTACTACTAGCGTGGCACTTGTTACTACTAGTATTTTGTGTTTTTCCTTGGAAGTTCTTCTTTTTTACTTGCTTCATGTATCATACAATAGCTATTGCTCCTATTTAGCAAGCTAGTCCAACGCAAAGCAAGAAGCAGCAGCAAGAACAGATTCTTTCCGTTCTTTCAGTGCTCCGTTCTTTCTTTTCATAACAAAGACAGATAAATTAGTTACTAGCAAACATTGTTACTAGTAAGGCACTTGTTCCTAGAAGCGATGCACTTGTTTCTACTCGCTCTTTTCACAAAGAAATGGCAGTTCTTCCAGATGATGCCTGGAACATGCCTTCTGCAAAGATGTCATAGCTCCAGAGCAGCCTGTTGGGTCCTGGGATTCACAACTTGTTTCGGGATGGCCTGTCGTCGCTACTAGGAGCCAGAAGCTACTAGTAGCTCTTGGCCTTACTACTAGGAACAAGAGACATCGCTACTAATAATCTCCTGAAGACCTGGACCTTTTTCGGTTCCACTCAGCTGAAAGCGCAGCATGTTCTTGTTGGACCCTTTTCTCCGAAGTTCGAAACACTCAAAGAAGCGCGTTCATGCTTTACATTTTTCTGTGCCCCCTCGACTCTTTCTACATCTCTCTATATCCTTCTCTCCCTACACTCGTCGTTCTCTCGGTGGATCTCCTGGAGGCCAAAGGAGTTGGCATCATGGTTCAAGCTGTGGCCGCGAGCGCCGTAGCCCAATGCAGGTCGCGCAGCCCAAGCGTGGTGGGCGAAGGCAAAAACGAAGGCCCAAGCCCAGGCGGCCGGGGTTTGGAGTTGACGTATGAAGAGCGTCATGCAAACAACATGCTCCCCGCGACCGATTGAGGCCGGGGTTTGGGACGTCGAGGGCGTCGACTGAGCCAAAGATTGAGAGAGACTTGGCACTGCACTTGTTTGGTGGCATCCGAAAGCAGTATGGTGCTACCATGCGAAGCTGAAGCCATTGCAAAAATGGGTTTTTGAAGTTTGGTGCTGGGAGGTCACTTGTGGAGGTCGTTTCGTTGGTTCTGCCTTTTTGAAGCGACCGCAGTCGGATATCGCTGTGCTGTGACCACAGGGATCGATCCATCTCGTGTCACGACCTTTCCGTCTGAGGACTAGCTCTTCCGGTGGAGCTCGACCCCAACGGGTGGTGAAGACCCGAACATTCCGAACTCACAAAAACGAACAGCTTGAGAAGCTACTAGGAACAAGTGCATCGCTACTAGTAACAAGTGCCTTACTAGTAGTAAGAATGTTTGCTATTAGCAACAAATGCATCGCTTCTCTTCTTCTTCCTCTCATCCCATCTCAGGCCATGGAGACGTCGAGTGCTCCCGCGCCGAGGCTGTCGATGTAAACTCGGAAGGTCACCGAGGTGCCCTCCGTCAACTTGAAACCTGCCGACCGGTCTCGGTGCCGGTCCAGCGGGGCGGGCTTCCCAAGCCGAAAGCCGCAGCGGAAACGATCTTCCTCCTTAGCTATTTGCTTCTTGTTACTAGTAAGAATGCTCCTGGTAGCGATGCCAGGAGCCCCTAGTAGCGCCCTTGCTAGTAGAAGGCCAGGAGCCCCTAGCTCAAACAAGCAAAACGTCCGAAGGAACCTGAAAGTTTTAAGGCCCTTGAAGCATCCTGCGTGTCACCGATCAAACAAACATTTGATGATCTCTTCATTTGGGGTGGACACTGATTAGTGTTGGTCAGAGCGCACGCAATTGCTCCGGCCATATCCCCTTCCCTCAACAGCTACCTTCGCCCATGCTCCGCCTTCCTCGTGGTTCACATCAGGCTTCCGAAAGTACAAGAGGCCACGCTCCTTCACCTCCGTCGGTTGAAGAGCGAAACACACACTGCAAACTTCCAGGCAGGCCCTTTTTGAACAAAGGTGCTGAACATCTTTGCTCTTCAAACCCACCAAGAAACACAAGATTAAGCACACTCAGCACCTATGGGTTCGCTGGGAAACGTTCGACGCTGCAGGATGTAGAAGCGCCTCTTTGCCCTCAGCCTCGGCGGCGGCTTCCGCTTCGTTGACCTTCTTCTTCACTTGGCCCGGCAGGCCTCGACTTGAACCAGCACCGTTTTTTTCGGAAAAGACGAGTCACCCAAAACTTCAGGGCAAAGGTACTCGGTCTCTCGGTCCTATCGCTCTATGTTTGGGAATCCTTGTTCGGTGAGTTGAGCAAATAAAAGAGCGCAGGCAGAGATTGAAAAGAGGAGAGTCATGTAGGGAAAAATGAAGAGAAACGAGTTGATAAGATGCACAAGGTAGGCTGATGCCATGTGGTGATGAAAGTGCTTCTAAGGACCATGATACACATGAAAAGGAGGCACTGGTCGGCCACATATTCGGTTCGCCAACCAAGGTCGGCTTCGAGAACTTGGAGCGACGTCGAAGAATGGCAGTTTCGTGGAGTCCAAAACCAAAACCAATCTGAAGTCGAATGAAGAGTAGCGATGCCAGGAGTCCCTAGTAGCGAACATTGCTCCTAGTAGCGATGCCAGGAGTCCCTAGTAGCGAACATTGCTTCAATATGAAATTGAAGCTGCAATCTTGCTACAACAAACCGATGCCTTGGCGTTCGCTGGGACGCCGGACTCGCCAAGTTGTCTGGCTTGATGAATCCCCATCCTGAGAGACTCCACGGGTCCCACCGATGCTTCTTGTTACTAGTAGCGTCCTTGCTCCTAGTAGTAAGGCCAGGAGGTCCTAGTAGCTTCTTTTTTGCATCCCCTTCTTTGGGTGACTCGTCTCACATGTCTGGTGAACTCCTTTTTCCTGACCTTTGTCACGATCCCGAAGTGGAGCTTCAGAGGACTTTTCGTCTCACTTCCGATCTATTTGCTCCAAATCTCACAAGAGCTAAGAACCTTCACAAGGTCCAGTCCAGGCTTTCTTTTTGAATGGCACAAAAACACGGAGAACGACATCACTGACTTCAAAAGGTGTTTTTCTTTTTTCACTGCCACCAATACGTCACGTACATCACACGCCACATCATCGTTGGTGCCGCTGAGGCTCCTTGTTTAAAGCTGTAGCGTTGGATGACGCCAGGCAACACGGTGTCGCCCATCTCCTTGCGTCCTTCAGCTTCCACCTGAAGGCTGTGCAGACTACGCCGCGATGAAACGGACATTTTTCGGTTTTCAAGGAGAGACGATGGCGCCAGGATCCCCTAGTAGCGTCTTTGCTCCTAGTAGCGATGCCCTTGTTCCTAGTAGCGGATTTTTTTTCTAGACATCGACAGAATTGCCTTTCTCGTGACGCTTTGTCTTCTTCCATGTTCAGCGCTTTGAACGCTTAGACATTCGACAAACGAGCCTTCTTGTTCCAAAACTCACTCTTCAAAGGAGCTGCCCTCCTTAGATGTCCAATGTGGGAGATGAGATTTTCCTCGAAGCGACTAAAGCAAGTGCAAAGATCTTCTATTTCGAAGCTCAGGACAAGGAGAAAAAGGAAAAAACAACATCCTGAAATTGGAGTCTGTGAAACACATAAAGGAAGAAACCTGTTCTGAACTCTTCCGAAGTTCCTCTTTCCCTTGCCTTTGGCCTTACCACCTTTGCCGCCTTTGCCTTTGCCTTTTCCCTTCGGCCGGTAGGGCTCATCTTCCACCCAAATCCAGCGGCCTCTCAAGTCTCAAGGCTTCAGATAATTCCAAAATGCTTTTGATTGAATTCATTCAAACATATTTTACTTTTGATTGGATTCTGATTCTCAGTGTGTTTCTGTTTAAATGTTTGCTTCGTTTTTTGATCTTGAGTTTGCACGGACACATCTTCCACTTGAAGCCGCTGAAAAATCCCGTCCTTTCTCCGCCTTCTGACTCTTCCGGATCAACATTGTCGACTCCGTCGCTATCAAACGAAGACAGGACAACAGCGACACAATATCAGACCACTCCGGGAACAAAATGCTACTAGGAGCATAGGGCATCGCTACTACAACCATGGACGCTACTAGGGGCTCCTGGCCTTACTACTAGGAACAAGAAACTACTAAATTTCGACGCGAAAAGCAACGAGGTCCGTTCCGCTCGCGCCCGTCTTCTCCTTCGGAAGCCTTCCCTTTGCCCTTCGACTCCCACTTTTTCGGCTCCGTCCACACCTGGCGACGTCCGCGACGTCCACCGACCGCGATCCCCACCGCGCCAGGGGTGCACGCTTCGACACACTCTTCGCATCGCCTTGGTGGTCTTCCCTTTGCCTTTGCCGCCCTTTCCCATCTGTTGAAACCTTGCGGGACTCAGGACGGTGTTCTTGTTTCCATTTCTTTCCACATCGTTTGGTTTCCCTCCTTTTCGATTTGGTTTTTCTTGTTTCCATTTCTTCTCCGTTCCCTCCTTTTCCTTCTTTGTTTTTGGTTCTTCTGGTTTTCTTTTCGGTTTTTGGTTTCTTCTCCGTTTCGAGGTCGGCGCTTCGTCGGGCCGCTCGGGGGCCGAACGCTTGTCAGGCGGGCGGGAGTCGTCTGGAGCCGGTGGGCGTAGAAGGACCGTCGCTTCAGCAGCGAAGAGACGGAGAAGATGGGGAACCGGTCTAAGACGCTACTAGGAACAAGTGCATCGCTTTTAGTAACAAGTGCCTTACTAGTAGTAACAAGGACGCTACTAGGAACAAGTGCATCGCTTTTAGTAACAAGTGCCTTACTAGTAG